AGTACACTAAAGTTCACTTTAAACCATGGCTTTTCTATAATGTATGGTGGTAGTGTAGTGCCTAAGTGAATTGTGCTTGTGATTTTTGTAAGTGAATCTTTCTCTTGTTTACTTTTAATATGATTTTTTTTTAACTTAATCACGAATTAAGTAGTAAAATGGACAGTCACTTTCATCTATGTACACTGTACGTGTTACAACATATATAGAATTGGGTATTTTATTCCCTTTTAATATTAATAAGCTATATATTATACTAGCGACTCACACTCGCTCCGCTCGGGCTCGTCTCTAGGTGATTCTTTAAATGAAAATTCGAGTAAAAACTGCACCCGAATTGGTTAAGCCGTTTCTGAGATGATCGCGCGATCGATGATGACCAACGTACAGACAAACAGACAAAAGTTCTAAAAATCATCGTTTTGGGTTCTATTGTATTAATAAAGATCTCTAATAATAGTTTTTCTGAAATATCTTACACGTACAAACAGCAATCAGTTACAAAATTATATGTATATGATGTATCGATGTTTTATTTGATGTATCGATTATAAGACTATTGATTATATTATGGTTACGCTTCTAAATAAATATCATTTACCAATATTAAACTATTTAACTTTTGTTATAGGTAGGTACATGTGTTGTTTGCAATGTTTCATATTATCACAATATTTATTCAAAATCAGTTCAATTATATATTTTTTTATTTAAAAAATCAGAAATTATTCGTAAAATATCATTAAACAATGTACGATGTAATAATATCGAAAATGAGTTTATCTAAAGCTCTAAAGTCTAAAGTGACAAAAAAATCTACACATACTTAAAATAAAATTCTAACTGAATTGAATCTGAACATTAAATGTTTTTTTTTGGGAGTTTTTTTATTAAAATATTCATTATTATCGTACAGAGACCGAAACTAATTTTTAGAATTTTTGTCTATCTGTCTGGGAATGCATGACGAGAAAACCACTGGACAGATTTTGATGAAATTTGGTATGATGATAGATGGTTATCCAGGTCAACATATAGGATACTTTTTACAGCGGGAAAATATCTCATCTCTGAGAAATCTATACTAACCGTTAAAACGTATCTAGAGATGAACCCTAGCAGAGCGAGGGTGAGTCGCTAGGCACATTTAAATATGATAGTTATTATTAATTTGTAGGGGTTTTTTATATGAGAGTATGTTGTCTTCTTCACTTTTCCTTAGACCAAATCAGTACAGTATGTTATATCACTATTTATAGTGATTTATAATATAGATCATAAATAAAAAAAAAAACGTTCGAACAACCCTTTGTTAAAGGGAGATTTTAACTGAGAATCGAATTTCTATCCCATGGGACATCCATCATTGATTATACATTACAGTTTGGATGAAGCTGCATACAGCTACTGCGTATCACAAAAAAGAAAAGCTTGACAGTTTTTTCGAGAAGTTTTCAATATTTTTTCAAACAAATTATTTGATTTTATTATTAGAAATTATTGAATAAAATTTGCATGTTTAAATTACTTAAGTAACGTTCTATCTTATCTTACTCCATTCTTTAACTTACCAAAAAATGCACATGTAACGATGTAAAGGACATTTTCTTGGGGTTATTTCATTCCATCTTTACTAAATTACATGTAAAATCAGTATAATTAATTGAACAACACATTAAAATTTTATATAAATCATTATATATTCTAAATAGATGCTCGAAACAGTACAGAAATAGTATTTTTAGAGAAGACAATAAGTACGTGTGTGTCTATGCTCTTCCAAATTCTGTGTAGTGCTGTGCTTATTTAACTGATAGCACCTACAATAGGTACATGTTAAGTACCATAGTAAAAAAAATACATTAAATGTCAGTAATCTACAATACTATTATAAAGGAGACAGATTTGTATTTTTGTATGTTTGTAACGAATAAACTCCAAAAGTACCGGTCCTATTTAGATAAAATTTGGTAAGAAGATAGTTTGAGACCCTGGGAAGGACATAGGATATTTTTTACTCCAAAAATCATCCCTTAAGGGGGTGAAAATGGGGATGGTATTATAATTTTAGAGTAACGTTTCAAAAACCTCCAGTATGAAGGCTTTTATCTGTTACGCTGCGCCTACACGTCGCCTAGGTCTTATCTGGCTGTTCTTCCGACTGATCCAGGTTGTATCTATTAAACTGATCTTTATTATAGGCCATTAGAATTTATGACAGGATATCATGTACATATTATTTTAGCAAACTTCCAACTGGAGTATGAGAGTGACAGAATACAGAGTGCACTGGTACCTGCGCGCACACGTGCGGCACTATAATATCTCCTACGTAGATGGCTAGTCTCAATGAGATTGGCCGCCGTGGCCGAAGTTGATCGGGAGGTCATTATTATCTATTATTATAGCAAATATGCTAATAAGTAATAAGAAAGTCAAATTAGAAATATTAAAAGGCGAGGAGCGCCTATACAATTTATCATATTATATTTACAGCTTTTTGTTTTTGCTTTATTATAATGATAATTTGAAGTGATCGTATGATTATGGTTCAAATCCTTAAATAAAATTAAAAATATTGAAAGCTGACTAGATTAAGCTATGTATAGATATATAAAATATAACACTTGAATATTTGTTTTCTTTCATTATATATCTATTATCTATTAGGGTGGAGTGAAAAAACTTTTCTTTCTTAGCTTGGGGGTAGAATTTGTAGCTTGTAAAAAATTTATTTCTATCATATCATCTTTGAAAACTTTTAAGAATTGGCGAATTTCGATAGTTAGGTAGAAAATGACTATATATTCGTCAATTCTTGAATGTTTTGAAAGATGATCTGTCGAAAAAAAATTGAATCCAAGCCCAAAAATTTAAATTAATTATTCATTTTTTAAAAATCAGTGGGCCACCTCAAAATGTTAAATTAAAAAAAAAATTATAAGCTTTGTTTTTTTATAAGATTCTACCCATAAGCAAAGAAAAAAAAAATTTTTTCGCTCCACCCTATTATCTATAAAAAGGTAAACAAACAGTTCAGTAGCTTTTTCTTCTTTGTAGTAATAAGTAGTTGTTTCTACAACTATGATTGACGAGACCATTGACAAGCTTCAGCGATACCATTTTTTTTTAACCCAATTTATTTTTTATATAGATAGGTAAATTCCATATACGTTTTCCACATATTTTCAATTATGATTATGGTCGATTTAGACCACTGGGCGAATTCTAGTAATAATTTAATTATTCTAAGGCCCGTCATTTTTGCGGTGTCAAGCTCAATTAACTTTGCTCGCATTCTTTGACTTATGATATTTTAATATGAAACTAAGCAAGTAATTATAGATATTGTATAACGAAGTGTCGTAGGGGTGGTCGCGTGCACGTCGCGTGCACCACGCGTGCAGGTGTTACACTACACATTCTACCGATGTAAAATGTGTTTATTTATCTGTTACATTTATATAAAATACTTCAGTTAATTTAAAAGAATGTTTTGGTTTTTACTTGACGAGTGAGTAACAGTGTTTACGATATAAATATGTTGGGACATTAACACACAGCACCATCTAGTTCCATGGTAAGCTACGGGCTTGTGTTATGGATGCCAGATAGTTGATATACTACAAATATTATGTTACTTAAAATATATACGTATTATGAATATAAAAACACTTGACTGGAGTACAAACATTCGTGCTCATCATGCAAATGAATGCCTCCACCGGGACTTAAACCGTCAGTGTCCCTACTTACTGACACAGCAAGTAGGGACACTGCGAACTGACCCAAACGTGTCGTCGATTTTCTGACTCTTTATTATAGTAATGTAATCGGTAAACTTTTCCGGATTCGAGCAAACGACACGTGTCGGTCGCGTGACGACGCTCAATTGGATATTGTTTTTGAATATGGTCTGACCACCTGTTGACAATTAATCACTCACTAAAGTTTTTTTCAATATTAAGTATAGTATACTGCTATGATAAGAAAAAAATCCGTAATAATTTTCGAGATTTCGCAATCGTATAGCTATGTAAATTTAATAAAATATATTTTATTTTTATGGCTAACAGGTTAACGGCTTCTAGTCATATTTGGGCCTCATTTTAAAAACTTGATATATCCATATTAATATTATAAATATGTGAAAGTTTGTGAGTATGGATGTTTGTTATTCATTCACGTCCAAACAGCTGAACGAATCTGGATGAAATTTGACACAGATATAGATTATAGTCTAGAATAGGCTACTTTTTATTTATCCCGGAAAATGTACTATTCCAAAAAATGTACGTGGGATAGGTTTATTTTTATTTTGAGAAAATATAAATAAGCCCGTTTTTTTAATATAAATATATATTTTTTTATAGTAAAACGTGCAAAATAGTACATAGTTATTTTATTTCCTGACGATATACAAATGCATGTATAGAAAATACCTGTTTGGAACGTACTGAATACATAGATGTTCTAAATAAAATAATTAAATCGGGGATATTCATCAATATATGTCCCTATATCTTCGTTACAAAAGATAAAAAACTTCTTTTTTTTTATTTAATTTAAGTAATAACTATATAAATTATCGTTTTCTTTTAATTTCTCATTACGCTTGGCAAATAATAAACTATAAAATAAACTCCGTTATTATTAGATTAAAGTTTGTATGAAGTGCGGTGACAAATTAACTTTTTAAATGCCCCACCGGAAATCATGAACCGGAAATCGGAAGTGATAAAGCTCAACTGACTTTCCGTGACACATTGCTCACGCGAACTAACGTGGGGGTCACCGTGATTGACATGAAAATTGTTTGTACTTTACATTTAAAGAACGTTAAAAATATATTACTAAATAAATACATACATAAAATCCATCATTATGTTTAAATTTTAAATAACTTCTAAAGATACATACTACCTGTGTCATACATTATAGTAAAAAAAATCAGTAAAAATACATTCATATCTTTTTTCGTTGTTACAGAAAAAGGAAGAATGTTCAGCACAGATTTTGAAGATTACTGCGATTTTAATGACAGCATTTGCAGCAATGACTCTGGTTTCGAAAGATCCTACGCAGATTCCTCAGCACCCTCTTCTACCAGTACTCCTTTAAAACATGACACATCTGATCTCGGAATATCATTAGGTATAACCAAAGATAGTAATGTTAAACGGAGATTATTTGGCGATGAATTTAGCTTCGGTTTTCCAGCTCAAGTTGAAGAAGTCAAAGGATTCGAAGCATTTCAACCTCTAGATAACACCTCAACGCCAAAAAAAGACAAAAAGTGCAAAGATCCAAGTAAACCAAAACGTAAATACGCTAACGGTAAAAACAGAGTGACAAGATGCAAGAGCCCAACGCAGATTTTAAGAATAAAGAGAAATAGGAGAATTAAGGCGAACGACAGAGAAAGGAATAGAATGCACATGTTAAACGAGGCTCTAGATAGGCTAAGGTGTGTTCTACCCACTTTTCCAGAAGATACAAAGTTAACAAAAATTGAAACGTTACGATTCGCCCATAATTATATCTTCGCTTTAAGCCAAACGTTACAATCACTGGATAGTATCAACTCAGGAGTACCAATAGAAAATAAATTCGAGAAATATGAAGCTTGTGCATTATCTGGTGATAAATTGAACAAAGATGCATTTAGAGATATATTCGTACCGAGCAAAACTGATGATAGCGGCGATGGGTATAGAAATTTTCAAGGATTTAGCAAGCCGTTTCCAAACGGATCCAACTTCCTCCAAACCTCTGAAGGTGTGTTAATTAATGTGGGTAATGTTACAGTGTCAGTTAATAACAAAGGTGGTAACTGTATAACATCTACAACCGGCAGCGGCTTCTTTACCCATCCAGCAAGTTATGGAGATGATTTGCAAACAAGTTACTTGAACAGATCATACACTAATTATGATAATTATGATACTAGTCTTCAAAGTGGAAAGGAGTACTTTAATCAGAAAAACTATGAAATATTTAAAAATGCCTTTGATACTGCTAAGAATAGGAAACATCCCATGACTGAATATACATCGAATTATAATAACTTTTCCAATAACAATTACGCTTATAACGACAAATATAACTACGACAATAATACTTGCTATTCACAGAGTAATTTTTATTACCACGACCAAAGATATGTTGGTAGAGACTTTTATAGAAGTCCAAGTGTTGTGAATGCTCAAATTTAATGTACAATTTAATAGATTTATTTTGTATAGAGACCTAGTCATTTAGAGAATATGTATTTTTATAAACTTTTTGATGAGACAATAACGCATCTCAGATGGTACCAAAGTTTTTTATCTAGTCAGAATAAATTGGAAAATATATTTTTTTTATATTTTTATTTGGTTTTTTTACTTTAATCCCTATTACATTATGATTTACCCTATTGAAGTCATAACTTTAATAGTCTATTAATAATAAATTTAACAATCCTTTTTGAAATAATTAAATAAATGTGTTGGGATATTAACACAGCACCATATAGTTCTATGGTAAGTTACGAGGCCTGTGTTATGGATACCAGATAGTTGATACACTACACATATATAGCTTTAAATACATACATATTATAAATATAAACACCCATGACTGGAGTACAAACATTCGTGCTCATCACACAAATGAATGCCCCCAGCGGGACTCTGACCCACGACCGCTGTGGCACAGCAAGTAGGATCACTACAAAGTACAAACTGAGCCAAACACGTTCTTAGTAAATATATTTTATGGGTACTAATTTTTATTTCAAAATAACCGTAAATCTTTAACTTTTATTCTTTCAAGCAGTGTTTTTCTATAGTAAAGTTAGTTAAATGAATTCATTCAAACTCTGACGTCAATTATATAGAAAGACTTCCACTTGATTTACTACCCCGGAATAACAGCAAGTAGTATGAATATAAATCAAAATGGAACAATGCTTGTTAAAGAGCGAACTTGTGAATGATTTGAGCACCCCTGCGCGGGCGCATTGTTCTCCTATACGAAATAGCTCAGCCATTTTGAACTTAAATCTTTACAAAATATAGATTGCCTTTGGCAAAGTTCATTTTATTTTGTACGTGAAACAATTTAGAGTATTTCAACACAACTTAGAACCTTATTGGCTCTTCATAGAGTCTATTTTAGACTTTCAGGTAACATTGCAGTTTATAAGGGTGAGGGGCACCCGTTTTTGGGCTCGTATTACGCTTAATGTTTGCTTTGGAAATTCGTTACGCTCTATTTTATTGTATATTTACTCTATTTCAATAGTATTGGAATTATTGAATGTAGTTCGTGTTATAATGCTATAAATTGTAAAGCAACTGCTCTTCATTGTTAGAATTTTACCGTTAACTAGCATTGCCCGCGGCTCCGCCCGCGTTTTGATGACCAAAAACCAAATTCTTAGGTTTTACATATTAGTATACTCTTACATTGCAGTTTCTGTGTTTTTTTCTCAGAAATGAGATATTTTCGCGCGGTAAAAAGTATCCTATATGTTGACCCGAATAACCAGCTATCATTATACAAATTTCATCAAAATCTATCCAGTGGTTTTCCTGTGATGCGGTAACAGACAGACAGACAGACAGACAAAAATTCTAAAAACTATAGATTTGGCCTCTGTATCGATAATAAAGTCTATTTCAATTAGATTTTCCAAAAAATATTTAATGTTCGGCTTAGTTACAATTTTATTATATGTATAGATGTTCACATTTAAAATGCTATATACTTCTAGCTTTTATTTGAAGAAAACAAAGAGTTATCTAATAGGAACTCATAATATCAGCCTTTACTATTTGCTCACATACTTTAGACCCTAAATTGAACAAAAATAAATTATTCGATATAAAAAAACTATCTTGAAGTTTAACTTTTGCATAATTCAACTTTAAATATATTAATGAATTCTTGGAGAATGAATTGTAGAACTTTGAAAATATTAAAACTTTTATAAAATTCATTTGATCTACTTCTCGTCTAATTTTGAATGTGGTAATTTTGGAAATGACACCTGCCGTAACGTATTGCACATACGCACATCGAGTATTGTTTAACAATTTTAAGCTTTCACAGGCAACGATATAATTAATATTGATTTGACGACAAATTGCAGGAAATTAACTTCCGTGTGTTGATGCAGATACGAAAATGGAGAAATAAATATATATTTACTCAATCCAGATTGGCTTAGTTTAAGTACCCTATATACTGCTTTCTGACTGAGTTGAATCTATACATTAAATATATTTTGGAAATCTTATTGAAATAGTCATTATTATCGGTACAAAGGCCGAATGTATAATTTTTAGAATTTTTGTCTGTCTGTCTGGGAACGCATCCCGACAAAACCACTGGACATATTTTAATGAAATTTGGTATAATGATAGCTGGTTATCCGGATCAACATATAAGATATTTTTACTGCTGGAAAATATCTGATCTATGAGAAATCTATACTAATCGTCAAAACTATAGGGACGAATCCGCGCGGAGTGAGGGTGAGTCGCTAGTCATTTATAATCGTACGAGTATACACCTGACAACGGTATATTTTTATTTTAAATTTTATTAAAATGTAGTAACAACTTTAAGTTACTTTTTTTAATACCATTTTTGCATGAACTCAAACATCACAAACTATAAAGTTTGGACAGAAAAACGTCTGTCAGGTTGTTATTTAATAACTACGAGTAGCATTGCCCGCGGCTCCGCCCGCGTTCCGATTACCAAAACAAAATTCTTATTTTTTACATATTAGCATACTCTTACATTGCAGTTTTTGTATTTTTTCTCAGAAATGAAACATTTTCCCGCGATTGAAAGTATCCTATATGTTGACACGGATAACCAGCTATCACCATACCAAATTTCATCCAAATCCCTATAGTGGTTTTTCTGTGATGCGGTAACAGACAGACAAACAAACAGACAGACAAAAATTCTAAAAACTATAGATTCGGCCTGTGAATCGATACTAATGATTATTTCAATAAAAATTTCCAAAAAATATTTAATGTACAGATTCGGCTCAGTTACAATTTTATTATATGTATAGATATCAATGTGCCTAAAACTAATACAAGTAAAACTAATATTCTACCGCAAAATTTCTATCAATTTTATATTTATGGGTTTTAAATCCACACAAATTAGTATAGAATATTAAATGTCATATTTACCACCCCACACTTTGCTCCCGGAGCCACTAATCCTTAGCATTTGGGTAAAATCCATTTGTCACCCTCGGATTTGGTAAGCCTTGTAAATATTCATACATTTTGAAATTGGGTATTTTCGACACAAAAAATGTACTGCGATGTATCTTATAATATTAAACGAGCAATTCTCGTATATATGTTATATGCACATATGTAAATTTATTTCGTGAGCAATTTTTACATAATCTATACACATATAAAATTGTAACTAAGCCGAATCTGTACATTAGATATTTTTTGGAAAATCTTATTGAAATAAACATTATTATATACGATATAGAGGCCGAATTAAAAGTTTTTAGAATTTTTGTCTGTCTGTTACCGCATCACAGGAAAACTACTAGACAGATTTTGATGAAATTTGGTATGGTGATAGCTGGTTATCCGGGTCAACAAATAGAATACTTTTTACCGCGGAAAAATGTCTCATTTCTGAGAAAAAATACAAAAACTACAATGTAAGAGTATACTGATATGTAAAACCTAAGAATTTGGTTTTCGGCCATCTGAACGCGGGCGGAGCCGCGGGCAATGCTAGTATATGTATAAAATTTCGTTTATCTCGGAAACGGCGCTCTAAGGATTTGGATCAAATTTTATATTTAGATAAGGTTTTGATATTTAAGTTTAATTTTCGCCAATAAATGATAATAATCTACCGAACAAGCGCCTACGCTGAGCGAAAGCTCTAAGCTCGGTCGCCCAGATACTTTCATTATTATAATAATCGCAGTTGTATTATTATTATTTAAGTGTAGCTTCGCCTAATGTAAGATAAGCTCAAAGTTAAACAGAACCTAGGGACTTAAAATTCCGGAAGTAAAAGCTTTATTTGTATATTATTAGGTACCATACAATGTAGTCGTAACTCAGTAACGATGTTTTTAATTGATTTGACACTAATGTCATGTCACAGTCACATTTTTAACAGCGTACCTACTCAAATAAATACTTAAATACTAAATGTAAAGAAAATACATAGGATGTGAGAAAAACTTACTAAAGAAACTTTTGCTCAGATTATTTCAGTTACATATCTTAGAAAGAGTGAATTATAAAAGAAACGTGAAAGTCAGACTTCTTTGGCGTAACAGAAGAAAAATAGCTAAACATTTCATCCCGTATGTCACAACTCTCTGTTTCTAAAAGAAATATAGCTAACTTCATCATGTCGCTTTTTGGCTGTCGCTGTGAGCACGCATCGTAAAAATTTTACTCTCATATTTTTTTTTCCAAACGTGCCAAAAACTTTAAAATCTTGAAATAATAATTATTGTTCTAACAATATAAACAAGATTTCAAATAAAATTATGCCAATTAAAATAAATGTAAGGTTTTTTTTTTATTTACTTTTTTTGAATCGGCTCAAACAACACATGTTTGATATCGTATGTCCATTAGCCTCGGGGTAGTTGTGATTTGTTTATTCTCTTTAAAATGTTGAACGGCGCCGCGGGCAGTGTACTAGTATTTACTTAGCTAAGCCAATATAGTTGTTTACATTATCTTTTTATAGGGAGGACTTTGTTGATTGAGATGCAAAATGTTTTATCTCAATTAATTATTTATTGAGTATTTGTAGACTTTGTTGTTGGTACAATAATGAAATGTAATCTATACATATAATAAAATTCTAACTAAGTCAAATCTGTACATTAAATATTTTTTTGGATTTTTTTTTGAAATAGACATTATTATCGATACAGAGGCCGAATTTATAGTTTTTAGAATTTTTGACTCTCTGTCTGTCTGTTACCGCATCACAGAAAAACTACTGGACGGATTTTGATGAAATTTGGTATGGTCATAGCTGGTTATCCAGGTCAACATATAGGATACTTTTTATCGCGGGAAAATATCTCATTTCTGAGAAAAAATACAAAAACTGCATTGTAAGAGTATACTAATATGTAAAACCTAAGAATTTGCTTTTTGGTCATCTGAACGCCGGCGGAGCCGCGGGCAATGCT